CATTTCATCTCATTTCTATATTTCCCCGTGAGATCCCAAAGGAAAATCTGATCGGATCAGTCTAGCCATAAATTCTCTCTGAATCCAAGCAAGCATAGATTAGGGCTAGGAGAACAGTGAGGAAGGGGACTATCATCGATGCTCAGAAAGATAATGGGATGGAATCACAGTCTTATCTGGCTCCACAAGTGAGCAGTTCCAGGCTCAAGAGCCCAACACATGTCTCTAAGGATTTTCTGCCATCATCTCAGTTATTCAGGGAAGGACCTTTTCAAACTAAGGGCTCTCAGGGAAGAGTTCTCTTTCCACTGAGGCTGCTAAGGATATAGGATTTAAGCCTGGGGTTGCTGAGAGCCTTTTTCACCACAAAGCAGAAATGTTGATGATGAAGCTAAGTTAGTGAAGAAATGGAGATTATTGGATTGTTTCAACTCCTGGATGTAACTAGTTCTGAAGCATCCTAACTCTGGACTTTTTGGCAACATGAATCAATTAATTCTCCTTTTTGACTAAACTAGTTTGAAATAAGGTTGTCACTTAAGTCTTTAGAGTCCTGGCTAATATGAGTTTTTTGTTTGTTTTTTTCTTCCTTTTTTGCTAACAATGAGAACTTATTTGCAGGGCATTGTTCTAAGTACTTTATATGTATTAACTTACTTAATCCTTATAATAATTCTATGAAGTAGATATCATTATATCTACCTTCATTTTTTAACTTAAAACTGAGGACCAGAAAAGTTAAGTAACTTGTCCTATGTCACAAAACTGGTAAGTGATGATATGGGATACAAATCTTTTTCTGCTCCAAAGTCTGCATACTTGACCACTACACTTCAATGCCTTATTGCTCCCAACCCTATCAGAACATAAAATTTAACTCCTTGACTCCAAACACTATCATCTTGGGACAGACAGGGGCCAGAGAGCTTCTATTTGTTCCACTTGCACTCAATTTCATCCTTTATAAAATGAGGATAATTGTAGTTTACCTACCTCATAGGTCCTGTGAGACAATACATGTAAAACACTTAAACAGTGACTGGTAGATAATAACAACTCAATGAACAGTAGTCATTTGTATTATTACTAATGGGTCACTAAAGTACAGCTGGCAAATACAATGCAGATGGGAGAAATCTCTTTTATCTCTGTCCTTTAGGAGAAGGGAAGAGATGCCATGGATGAGAGATGAGGACACTTTCTTGTCTTGGACCCATTGCATAAGCTGTTTCCTTCTTCTGGAAGGCTAGTTGTCATTGTCCCAATTCCTATGGGATGTCACCCAGCCCAAATACCACCTTTTCTATGAAGTATTTCCAGATAAAGTGCTGAATTTCACCTAATCTTAGCCAAATGGCTGAAAAGCAATCTCTCACTGCTGAATTTCTACATATACAATAATTTGTACCTCATGTTCTGCCCTGTGTACCTGCCCAACCTCTCCACTGTATTGGGAGCTCCCCAAAGGCAGGCCCCAGTGTTTACCCTGTGATCTGTTACCCCTTTTCGACATAGAGAGAAACAGAATCCCTCAGAGGAAGTTGAGGCCCTATGGAGGGCTGAGAAGCCAAGTAGGATGGGGTGAGGCAGTTCAGAGCAGTTGGGGCAGATAGCCTCTCCTTGGGCTAGGTAGAGAGAAGATAGGAAGGGGAAGAGGAGGAAGGTGCAGGAAGGTGGCCTGAATCTGAATGAGGTGCGAGATCTGAGAAATTTAGAGATTTCTAGCCAAACACAAGAGCTGCCTATGCTCTGATGATTCCCAATAACTTACAGAGGGCAGATCCCACCTTGTGGGATTCTGAGACTAACAAGACACATCCCCACTATCTCCCAAACTCCATGTCCAGTGAGGGTGGGTGAAAACTATAAGGAAGATGAGTGGTGCTCTAGGAAGTACAATAAAGGGCTCTCGGCAGTAAGACACAGAGAATGAAGATTTGCAGGTGTTTTAAGAGGAGGGTGCTTATGTGAAGGATAGATGAGTAGATGAGAAGAGATTTTGGAGGAGATAGCAATCTGAAGCAGAAGCACCAAAGACTGGTGTGGAAGGAAGACAGAAGAAAGTCCTAGAAGATCTGAAAGGAAACCATTTAAAAGTAGACTCTGAAGTAATTGCTCAGAAGGTGGGGCAACTTTGTGGAGAAGATAGAAGTCGTTTGAAGGGGTCTTTCTGGAGGGTGGGTACTTCACAAAGGGTACTCCCAGGAAAATGGGGTGGGCAGCAGGGCATAGTGGACATCTTTTGGGGGCTTTCTGTGGGGAGAGGGAAATTCTCCTAGAGGCAGTGGTTCTCAAACTTGAGCATTTATCAGAATCACCAGGAAGGCTCCTAAAATCAGGCTGCAGGGCCTGACTCCAGGTTTTCTGATTCGGTAGGACTGGAGTAAGGCTCAAGAATATGCATTTCTAATAATTCCCAGGTGATGCAGATGCTGCTGGTCAAGGGACCACACTTTGAAGCCCATTACTATAGGGAAGAGATTCTTTAGTGAGGAGGCCTCAAGGGGAAAAGAACGGTGGGAGCTTCTGGAAGGAAAATGGGCAGCCCTCAAGCGGTCTCTAAGGAGGGTATTAAGGGTCCCTTCATCTCTGAAGGGAGGAGGGGCTCTCTGAGGATGGAACCTAGAAAAAATGGTCAGAGAGTAAGGTCTTAAGGACTGGGATTTCAAAGGGTGGAGAATGCCTCTGGACAAACCTCTTATTGAAAGGGGATCGGGAGCCTCTCGGAGGGTTGTCTGGAGGATGTGGGGCCTAGGAAGGGATTATGGGTAAGGAGACTCATCTGCACAGGACCTCTAGGTGATTTCAGGGGGAAGAGAATGGAGGAGATGAGAGGGTTCTAAAGGGAAGGGAGCCCAGGAGGGTTTGAACAAGGTTTCTGGGGCCGTGGGCGGAGACCCCCGGGGGGATTCTGAGAAGCCTGGCCAGAGGCTGGGGCTGGGAGCATTCTTGGAGGGGCCGAGAGCAGTGGACTGAGATGGCAGATGCGTCCTTTCAGAACCTCGCTAAGGCCGCAAAAGGGTGAGGGGAAGGGGGGGAGTGGGGGGAGCCTCCTGAGGGAAAGTGGGTGTCAGGTGGAGGGCTCTTGGGGAAGAATTCTGGAGGCAGGGTTAGCAGGGGTGCGAGAGGCTTGGCACTCGGGCAGCCTTGGAAGCGGCAATGAGGCAGGATCTCCCAGGAGGGCTCAGGAGGTGGCGGGGTCTCTGAGGAGACTGAGATCTTGAAAACGGCACCTCAGAGGGGCCACGAGGAGCCTTAGGACTTACAGTGCTTGTGAAGAGGGTGTTAAAAAGTTCACCTAAAACTGTGTGTTGGTGGGGAGGCGGGGGGCTTATAAAATAAATTTTTGCATTCAGAAGCAATTTTTGGAACATTTGGTGTGGGTTACTGGGAAAGGTTTGGGATACACAAATGGGGTTTGGGAAGAGGTTTGTGGAACTGGAAGGAAAGCTCTCCACAGATCTGAGCCTCTGAGGAAGCTTTTCAGGGCACATCTGGGGCATCCTGAGGGATTTGGGGGCAGGAGTCCTGAGCCTGGGGTTCTGAGTGGAGCATCTCGCAGGTGACTTCTGGGCGGGGTAGGGGGGAGGGAAGTCCGGGAGGCGGTGGGAAAGCGGCCTTTGGGGGAGATTTCGGGAATGTCCGGGTCTGGAGAGGTTGGGGGGGAGGATTCTGAAAGGCGATTTTGGGGTCTCGCGGGGAGGAGACATCTGATCCGCACTGCTGGGTGTCCGGCGGCCGCGGGAACGTTTCTGGGGGGAGGATAAGGATTCGGGGCCAGAGCGGGGCTCTCGCGGCCGATTTCCAAGACCCGGGACAGGGTCCGGGGAAGCCTGCGGGCATGGCAGGAGTGCGATCCGGGGAGACCTGGGGCGTCGGAGGGGGCGCGAGGCGAGTGTCAGGGTCTCCGAGGTCGCCGGGGGCCGCCCTCCGAGGAGGCGCCTGAGGTGGCCGTGGGGGTCGATTCCGAGGATGTGAGGGGGTCCGGGAGGGAAGCTCCGAGCGGCCTGTGGGGGCCCCTCGGGGGCCGGGGTGGGGGCCCCGCGCAGGGGCCGGGACCCTCAGGCCCGCGCTCCGCGCCCGCGGCTGCCCGCGGCTCGGGGTCCCTGAGGGGGCGGGGCCGCCCGCGCGGCCTGGGGCGCCCTGAGGGGAGACCCGCGCGCCCCGACCCGCCGCGGCCCCGGGCCACCCGGCTGCCCGGCTGCCCGCGACTCACCGCCTCGGCCGCCGCCGCCGCCGCCGCCGCTCGGGCCTCCTCAGGCCACCGCCGCCGCCGCCGCCCGCTCTCCAGCCCGCGAGCTCCCCTCCCTCCTCCCGCACCGACCACCGCCGCCGCCGCCGCCGCCGTCGCGCTGCGTCACCGCGCCGTGCGTCACCGCCCCTCGTCCCGCCCCGGCGGAGCCGCCGCGCGCCCGCATTAGCAGAGGCCGCGGTGACGAGCCGCGCACCCGCCAACGGGCGGCGAGCGCGGAGGAAGGCCGGGCCCTGGCGGCGAGGGGAGCTGCGGAGCCGGACGAGGCCCAGGGGCCCGCCTCTTGCTCGGCGGGATTGGTCGGTCGGGGGGGCTGACGGTCAGGCGGCCGGCGGGAGGGGAAGGGGCGGGGCGCGCGCGGCGTTGCCACGGGCGACGGGCCTGGCGGAGCGCGGCGCTGGGCCTCCCGGCCCGCAGGGGGCAGTCCTGCGCCTCCGCCTCCGCGGCCTCGCCCTGTCACAATTCCCGATTCTGGCGTTGGAGCGGCTCCCGCCGCGCCCCGCGCCCCGCCGGGCGGCCTGGCCCTGCGGTGCCCGAGCGTCCGGCTGGCGCTGGGCTCCCGGAGCCCCAGTTCCCTGCGCGGCCTCTGGAGCAGAATAGAACGGAGAGGCGATGCATGCGGAGCGCTGAGCACAAAGGAGGCCATCAATAAATGGGAGTCGTTGCTCCGGCTGTTGTATCTGTTCGTTCTTTCTACAAATTCCCTGACTCGGGGTGAACCGCACAGGAGCGCTCAGGTGACTGAGACATGGCTGTTGGAGGGACTCGGAATGCAGTCGGGTGGAGTGTAGGGTCCAGCCAGGGAGCGGTGGGCATGAGCGGCCGCCGGACATTTGGCCAGTTGAGCGGACTTGGACTTGTCCTGTGGGCACGCCGGAGCCATGGAAAGAAAGGATTGGAGCTGGGAAGAGTCATGGTGAGCTGGGGGTTTGGAAAGATGTCTCTGGCTCTCTTATTGGAGGGAACCGAGTACAGGGAAGCAGCAGGGACGGGAGAGGGGCGTTTGCACGAGGGTGGGACTGGAAAGGGGCGGAGTCCGCGGAAGGACGCTGAGTGAACGGGCTGGCCGGGGACTGGTGGCTGCAGCAGGTGTTGGGGGCAGGAATCTAAGATAAAGCCCTCTGGCTGGAGGTTGGGGGGCTCCTGAGAAAGAGATCAGAAAAGATGCAGGCTCTGTAGATTCGGAGCCCAGTGTGGGCCGCCGGCAGCAGGGCCCGGCAGACTGCACAACTCCTGTGTCTGAAGCTTACGAGAGAAATTGGAGCCGGAAACCAAGATTTGAGGATCATCAAAGAGTAACTGAAGCTGTGGTAATTAGTGACCTAGCCTGGGGAGGGTACGAAGGATGAATGGAAACAAGAACCCATCAGAACTCCGAGAAAAATGGGACATGGAAAGTTTGAGCAAAGAAATCAACCAAGATTGAGAAGGAGCAGCAGAGAAGAGGAAAACCAGATGTGGCATTTCAAGCCAGGGTGGTGGATGGCACAAACCCCGTCCACTACCCTTTCATCGAAGCAAGAGTTTTCACACCAGATAGAGTGATTGTGCACAATATATGCTGCTTCATTTATTCATTCAATAATCTTTCTTCTGTACCTAATATATGCCATGCATTGTTTAAGGTGCTGGAATTTCAACAACGAACAAGGCAGACAAACATATCTTCTTCAGGAAGTCCACATTCTGATTGGGAGGTGGAGCACAAACAATACATAAACACTGTGTAACTTGGTGATAAGTGGTATGGAGAAAAATAAAGCAAGCTGACAGGATGGAGAAATGGGGTCAGTACTATTTTAGATGAGGAAAGACCTCTTTTATCAGATGGGATTTGAATAGAAATCTGGAGGAATTAAAAGGCTGAACCATGAGGGAAAGACGTTTCCGAAAGGGTTAATGGCAACGGCAAAGGCCCAGGGCAAGATTACTCACTGAATCACAAAGGCTAGCGCAGCTGCAGTGAGCACAGAGGAGAATAGTGGAAGACAGGGCCCAAGAGGTAATGGATTATGGTAGCTAACTTAGTTATAAAGGCTACTTACTGTAAGGGCTTTTGCTTTTACCCCAGTACTATGCGAGCCAGGGGAGGGTTTTAAGAGAGGCAGTATCTCGTTGACTTGGGTTTTATTTGGATCCTTCTGGTAATCCTATGAAGAATAGAGTGTGGGAAAGGGGAGCAGGGAAACAGTGCAGAGAGGAGAAGTGGGGTTTCTCTCTAATTGTTCAGGCTGGAGATGAGGGTGGCAGGACAGGATATGGGTTGTGGAGGGGAAGTGGGCAGGTTCTGGTTACATCTGGAAGGTCTAAGCTGACAAGTTCTAACATTGTCAAAGGAAAGAGAAGGGTCAAGAATGAATCCGAGATATCCAGGCGGAGGTGTCAGGTGGGCCACTGGATGAAGAATCTAGAGGTTAGGGGGTTCCCCAGCTGGAGAAATTAGAGTAAGCTCTTTGAAAGGCAAGAGATGGATGAGAACAGGAAGAGAGGAGGTAGACGGGAAAGAGAAGGGAGCTCTCTACTGTCAGGAGGAGGAGCAGAGAGGGGAGTGGGAGGAAAACCTGGTGAAGCTGGTGTCCAGAAAGCCAAGTGGAAAAAGCTGAGCGCAGGGAGCGATGGATGGTGTCAGATGGAGAATGAGAATTGACCACGAGGTCTAGCACCATACAGGTCATTGGTGGCCCTGTTGGTGGAGAAGGACAGAATGAGAGTCTGCTGGGAGAGACTAGAAGGAAAAAAATTGCAAATAGCAAGTGTAAGCAACGTGTTCAAGAAGTCTTGCTAAAAGGGGAAGGAAATGAATGGGCAGTGGCTGGGCGGGAGATAGGGTTTTCAGTTTTTAAGATGGGAGAAGTAACACTGCCTGTGTGTGTGTCAGGGAAAGACCCAGCGGAGATGGGCTATGGGTGATGCAGGGAGACGGAGGATAGCTGAAGTGATGCCCCTGAGCGGTTGAAGGGTGGGGTCCAGCGTGAAGTAGTGGGAATAGAAAGGCTTGTTCACTGCTATGGAGGGAAGCAGCCATTATGGGGCTGGGATCTGCAAAAATTCTCTCGTGTTTGTATTTTCTTACTGAAATACATAGGGTTTTCCTATAAATTACTTTTTCATTTCTCCTTTATATGACAGATCATTATATTGATTAAAAAAAAACGTGTATAAGTAGGGTACATTATGTAGGAATTTCATTTCAGGATGAGACAGGAAGCAATACAAAACACTTAATAAGAAAGGGGGTGCTAGTCTGACAAGATTGAACACCATTGTTGTAGGGCCCATTATAAAGCCCTTGAGGCTGAGTAACTTCAGAAAGAAATTCACCATTACTCTGCTGCTGTGGTGTCTCCTGCTTTCTTTCCATTTCCCCATCAACATAGTAGGTGAAAGCTTGACCAGCAGCTCCCCTTTTCAGTTCTGGAGTTAAAATACTCTAAGGGGGAAGAGAAGGAGGGGGGGAGGGAATCCAGGAAGGCTTCCTGGAGGAGAGGAGGTAAAGAGCTCCTTATTATCTTTTGTGTGTGGAGCATGTCCACCATGCCAGGAGACATGTAAAGCTATTTTATCCTCACAATAACCCTGAGTCAGAGAGTGGAGTTACTTAGTGATGGTCACATTTGAACCCCAGTCTAGGTGATTTCAAAGGCTCGCAGGTCCTGGCAGATGAGGGAAGGAAGGAGGGGGCGGAGCCCTCTGCAGCAGTTGTCTTAGAATGGGCATAAACAGGATGTGGTGCATGAAACCTTTTCCCTATCCCACACCCTGCCCCCCTTCTTTCCCCAGCCCTGGCCCCACCCCTAGAAGACAGCGGAACTGAGAAAAGAAGAGGCCTGTGGACAGAAAAACCATGGTCAGGGGGCCTGGGGTCGCACGGGTGGGCCTGGGGTCGGGAGGATGCCTGGGTGAAGGTCAGGCTGTGTGTTGGACAAAAGGGGCTGGGAAGGGGACAGGTTGGGGGAAAGGACCAGGCTGGGGGAAGAGAAATGGTGATTTGGCACCAGGTAAACAGATCTCGGGGTCTCCTTGAGTGTTGCCCAAGGATACCTGCTGGAGGGCTGGAATTTGGCCTCCACTCTGCAACCCAAGCACGTGCCTGTGAGGGGCTGCACCGCCTGGGGAGCACTCCTGTCCCTTGTTAGAGAGACCGCGGCGTGGGCAGGGCCAGGGCCAGGGACCGAGGCAAGGCCTGCTCACCTCTTTCTGGGCTCTGCTGCAGTCGGACTCCCTGGTGGTGTGCGAGGTGGACCCAGAGCTGAAGGAAAAGCTGAGGAAATTCCGCTTTCGAAAAGAGACGGATAATGCAGCCATCATAAGTGAGTGCCATTCTGCCTGGAAGGATGGGCGGGCGGTGGGGATGTGTGAGGAGGGCTGGGCCAGAGTCACTGAGTTAGAAGGGGTGTCCTAACTAACCCCTTTGTGCCATCCCTCCCTAGTGAAGGTGGACAAAGACCGGCAGATGGTGGTGCTGGAGGACGAATTTCAGGTGAGGGGCTGGGTGGATGGGCAGGGCGGAGCTGGGAGACCCAAGGGTCTGGCAGTGCGGGCTAGAAAGAGCTGGAGCACAGATGTGATCTTAGGCAAGAGATGTATGGGGTTCTGCTTCCTCATCTATGAAATGGAGATATCAGTACGGTCCTCATAGGGTTGTTTGTGTGGATTCAATGATTTAATCTTTGTAATGGGTTTAAAGGCCTGGCACTTAGTATATGCTCAATAAAATGATAATACTTTATTGGCACTTAAAGAATTTTCAGATAAATTAATAAAAAGCTAGTAGGAATCCTTTATAATATACTAGAGGCCCAGTGCACAAAATTCGTGCACGGGGGTGGGGGTGGGTGCTCAGCAAGGCCTGCACCCTCTCGCAGTCTGGGAGCCCTTGGGGGGAAGTCAGACTGATGGCTTCTGGCTGAGCGGTGCTCCCCCTGTGGGAGTGCACTGTGCACTGACCACGAGAGGGCAGCTCCTGTGTTGAGTGACCTCTGGTGGTCAGTGCATGTCATAGCATCATGCTGTTCAGTTGATTTGCCTAACAGCCTTTTATCATTTAGGATACCTTGCCCTCTCTTGGCCCCACTGTCTTTATCTATAATGTGGGAATGCTAATAAGGCTTACTTTATAGTATTGTGGTAAGGATTTAGGCGGTGGCTGTGGAGACTGAGGCTGGGCTGTTTGACAGGGGAGGTGGATTGGCTAGGAATTGGGCTCCCTCTGGTCCTCTAAAAGGAGGTGTAGTAAAGTGGTTATGATTTAAACCCAGATGCATATTTGAACTCCTCTGCTCAGAGTTGCTGTGCAATCTAGGGCAAGTGTCTTAACACCTCTGGGCCTCAGCTTGCTCACCTGTCAAGTAGGGATAATAATAGGTCCTACCCCACAGAGTTATGGAAGAGCTCAATGAGTTAGTCCATGTGTGTTACTTAGACCAGTATCTTGGCACATTAAATGCTTGTTTAATTTTCTTCTCTCCTGTTTTTTCCCCTCTTCCCCCAGAACATTTCTCCAGATGAACTAAAAATGGAGTTGCCAGAAAGACAGCCAAGGTATATATTGGGGGAAGGAACAGGAGGGTCAGGCCATGGGGAGAAGGGTGATGATGGGGGTGGAGACTGAGGGGATTGCTTGATTCCAGTCCTATTAACTAGCTTGGGATCTCTGTGTTTGAGGCCAAGAGATCTTATCCTAGGACTTTGTGTACAGTATACTAATATTTTGTTGCAGAATTTTACACTGATAATCAATGTGAAATTAGAGCTTGCTTTTTAAAAAATAGAAACTTTGTCAGATTTCAGCCTTAACATTGTTCTTGCCTCAGTAAATAAAAAGAAAGAAAATTTCCCTCTTTTTTTTAATGCTACAGAATATTTCTGGTAACAAATAAATTATTTGACATTTAACAATTGGGGAAAATCTTGTGTGAAGCCATATATGTCTGGTGCTTTTTGTGTTTGGAGGAACACTTTGACACTTCTATGGTAACTGGTCTGTGCAGACTTTCCATCTCCCCCGAGGTGAGTTTTGGGTGCCTGAGGATTTTGAGCCTCCATCCTAGCCAGAACCAGCCCCTGGGTGTCTGACAAGTGCAGTCCCACAGGGCCCCTATCTGGAAGGCAGCCTCGAATGTGGGAGGTAGTGCTCAGGCTGCCTGCTGTCTAGAAATTCTTTATAGTTTTATCTTTGAATCTGTGTTTTTTGTGAAGTCTTCTGAGACAGCAGAGCTATGCTAGGGCTTGGGGCAGTGCCACCTCCAGCCCTGGACGGTTCTCTATCCACTCCCTGCACCACCCAGTGAGGCCCTGGCAGGGAGCCTGAATGCAGATTGCAGGAGAGTTAAGGTCAGACTCCTCCTGCTCCTGAATGAAAGTTCCAGCCCTAACCGGTTTGGCTCAGTGGAAAGAGTGTCAGCCTATGAACTGAAGGGTCTCAGGTTTGATTCCAGTCAAGGGCATGTACCTTGGTTGTGGGCACATCCCTAGTATGTGCAGGAGGCAGCTGATCAATGTTTCTAAGTCTCTATCCCTCTCCCTTCCTCTCTGTAAAAAAAAAAAAAAAAAAAAAAAAAAATATATATATATATATATATATATTTTAAAGAAAAAAAAAAGGAAGTTTCAGAGTGTGCCTGTAAGCATCTGCAACTCCCCTTTTAGTGTTCCCATGTCCAAGACAGCAAAGCTTATGGAAGAAAGGAAGAAGTTTTTCTTCTATCTTTTGAACAAGGGGCCCCAAATTTTCATTTAGCACCGAGCTTGGCAAATTGTGTAGGCAGGCTTGGTCTCAGCCCCAGCTGGACAGTATCACGCAGTAGTTGAGCACTCACAGTCTAGGTTCAAATGTACCAAAAGAACTTTGGGCAAGTGACTCCACCTCTCTGGGCCTCAATTATCCCATCTGTAGTATGGGGATAAAATAGCGCCTTCATCATAAGGTTGTTGTGAGTTAAATAAGCACATTTTTGTTTTGTTTATTCTCCCTAAGGATATTTTTCCATTATCTTAGAGAGAGTGAAAGGGAGGGAGGGAGGTGAGAGAGAGAGAGAGAGAGAGAGAGAGAGACACTGAGAGTGAGAAACATCAAAGTGAGAGACACACATTGATTTAGTTGCCTTCTGCAAGTGCCTGAACGGGCCAACGTCGAACCTGAAACCCAGTTATGTGCCCCTGACTAGGAATTGAACTCATGAACCTTTGGTGTGGGGGCCAGTGGTCTAACTACTTAGCAACACTGGCAGGGCAGCACTATTTTTTTTAAGCCATTACGTTTTTCTTTTTTTCTTTTTTTAAAAAAACATATTTTGTTGATTTTTTACAGAGAGGAAGGGAGAGGGATAGAGAGTTAGAAACATTGATGAGAGAATCATCGATCAGTGCCTCCTGCACACCCTCCACTGGGGATGTACCCTCAACCAAGGTACATGCCCCTGACTGTAATTGAACCTTGGATCCTTCAGTCCGTAGGCTTTATCTACTGAGCCAAACCGGTTAGGGCACATTTCTCTTTTTAACATATTTTTATTGAGGTCTATTGATATCTGTCATTGCTGAATATGTCATTACTGTTTTAGGTGTACAATGTGATTTGATATTTGTATATATAGTGAAATGATCAGCACAATAAATCTATTTAACATCTGTCACTACACATAGTTACAAAAACATGTTTTTTCTTGTGATGAGGACTTTTAAGATTTATTCTCTTAGCAACTTTCAAATATGCAATTCAGTATTTTTAGTTAATAGAGGCCTGGTGCATGAAACTGCATGAGTAGGGTCCCTAGGCCTGGCTGGTGATCAAGGCCCATCCGGGCCTTCCAGCTGCTGACCAGGGCCTCCCTTTTCCACCTGCTGGCTACTGGCTGCCAATCTGGGCCTTTTTTTGTTCTGTGCCGCTCTCTGGTGGTCAGCACAGTCATAGCAAGCCATCAAACTGCCTAGGGCAGTGGTCCACAAACTGCGGTTTGTGAGCCAAGTGTGGGTGCCCGCGTACAGTGTGACTGAAACTTCGTGGCCAATGTGCAAAAGTTGGTTTTCAGCTCTCAAAAGAAATTGTTGTACTGTTGATATTTGGCTCTGTTGACTAATGAGTTTGCCGACCACTGACCTAGGGCACACTTTGCATATTAGCCTTTTATTAGTATATATATAGACAGTCATCATGTTGTACATTAAATCTCCAAGACTTATTTATTTTATAACTGGACATTTTTAACTTCTGACCCCCTCACCCATTTTGCCTCCAACCCCCTCTCTCTGGCAACCACCAATCTGTTCTTTGTATCTATGAACTTGATTTTCTGTGTTTTTTATTTTTATTTTATTAAATTCTAAATGTGAGATCACAACAGTATTTTGTCTTTCTTTGTCTGACATATATGTTTATGTCATTACTGTTTTAGGTGTACAGACATTATTAGCATACTGTCTCAATGTTTCATCCATGTTGTCACAAATGGCAGGGTTTCCTTTCTTCTTAATGGCTGAATGGTATTCCATTGTATATATAAACCACATCTCCTTTATCCTCTCATTCATCAATGGACATTGAGTTTGTTTCCATATTTTGGCTATTGTAAATAATGCTGTGATGGATATGCAGTGCATATATCTTTTTGAATTTGTGTTTCATTTTCTTTGCATAATTATGCAGAAGTGGAATTGCTGAATCATATGGTACTTCTATTTAGCATTTACTATTATTGTTATTTTTAATCATTTATTGTATTTGAGGCCACTATCTTCAGTCTCAGTTATTAATCCTAGGTTCTCAGACTCATGCAAGATTTCAAGGTTGAAGACGTAGGTAATCGGCTTTGATTCTGGGTTTCAGGCTGAAGTTCTGAATTTGGCTTCCTTTTCACTGGTGTAGGTTCGTGGTTTACAGCTACAAGTATGTGCACGAAGATGGCCGAGTGTCCTACCCGCTGTGTTTCATCTTCTCCAGCCCTGTGGGTGAGACTCAGCTCTATTCATCCTGAGAATAGGGTCTTGGATTCTGTGTGGGGTGTGTAAGGTAGTGTTTGAGAGTACAGGTGTAGGGGTGTGTGTGTGTGTGTGTGTGTGTGTGTGTGTGTGTGTGTGTGTGAGAGAGAGAAAGAGAGAGAGAGAGAGAGAGAGAGAGAGAGAGAGAGAGAGAGAGAGAGAGAGAGAGAACTTGGTAAGTACTGGGAGGGCAATGCATGGAAGTTGGGGGCTTAGATTCTCATGAGCCCAACCCATCCTCCTCAGTCCCAAGATGTTAAGTAATCCTACTTTTTTATTTTTTTAACCTAGAAACTCCTGTCTGGGAGTTATTCTGAGGGTCCCACCTCCAACGACCCTCAGAATAACTTCAAACCCCTAGACAAAACTGAAAACTGGGACTCCTTAGAAAACTCCAGGGCCTGCAGGACATTACTGGCCCCTTAGAAATTGCCCTAGGATCCCCCGGTTATGTTTTCTTCTCCCCTTTTCCATGCAGGCTGCAAGCCCGAACAACAGATGATGTATGCAGGGAGTAAAAACAGATTGGTGCAGACTGCAGAGCTCACAAAGGTCTGAGCCTGGGGCCGCGGCTCCCAGAGTGTTAGGGAGGAGGGTCAGGGAGTCTGGTCTCCTGGGTCTGAGGGAGGAAGGGGCTGGAGTCCTCCCCCTCTCAGTTCCTGAATGGATCATAAAATTGAGACCTCTCCCTGCCCAGGTGTTTGAAATCCGCACCACTGATGACCTCACTGAAGCCTGGCTCCAAGAGAAGTTGTCTTTCTTTCGTTGACCTCTGGGTTGGGGATCTGAATTCCTGATGTCTGATTCCCCAAAGGAACTGGGGACTCAGACCCTAGGACCTGAACATACCAGATCCCGAAGAAATTAAAATGCAAGAACTCAGAGATCCTCCGTTCTGGCTCAGTTTCTGTTTCTTGTGGTGGGCGCCAGCTGACTCCCTGCAGTACCAGCCTCTGGCCAGCAGAGGGCAGGCGGACCAAGAGGATGTCCGCTGAATTCCGGGAAGAAAGGAGGATAACCTGCTTTTTTGAAAGAAGCCTGTGGGGGTTTCCTAGGAAGTATGGGGGAGGCCGGGTCTCCTGCAGGAACCGGGGAATATTCAAATCCATGAAGGAGCCACTCTGGAGGGGATTAAGGATACCTGGGTCCCTGAGAGTAAAGGAGAGTGTCCGTTTCCCCTCCCTTCCCTTCTCAGCTCTAGGGGTTAGCTTACACTGAATGCTACTTTTCCCAGTGAGACATCAGGCCGGAAGAATTTAAATGCAGAAAGTTGTGGAAAGATCAAACCTAATTGTTCAGGGGCTTGGGAGTTGTTGGGGTGGGTTGTTGTGTGGTTGGGTAGACCTAAGGGTTCCAGTGCTGGGAAAGGCAAAGAAGACCCAGGACCCTCAGGGGAACACTGACGAGTACGATGTTGGGGGGGGGGGGGGCGGGCAGGAAAGGGACATCCGGTTCGCCCTGTCTGGAGATGCTGCTTTCTTCTGACACCCCTGGGCATTTGGTTTCTGTCTCTGAGGGACATTATTGAGAGCCAGCCGTGTACTAGGCTCTCAAAATTCCAAGACGGGCAGATCTTCACAGTTATAAATCACTCTTTCTGTCTCATTTGCCTCTCCTTAACGTCTCAGTTCTCTATGTCCCCAGATTCAGGGACCTGGCTCCCTCCTCCGCTCCTTTCCAGGTTCCCTATAGAGGTAGCTGTTGCCATGGTAACAATGGCATTGTGACCTAAGGCCTGGGCTGCCCCTTCCCAGCTCCAACCCTTCCCCATTCTTCCCAGCCAGAATACATCACCCCCTCCCCACCTCACTTCGCCCATCCCTTGCCCCCTTATTCCCAAGCAGGACGCAGCCTTCCTCAAGGGGTTCAGGATAGAACCACTCTACATAAGAAATCCCCTGCCCACAATTTTCTGCGGGGGCAGGTGATGAGAGGAAGGTTAGAGTGTGATGAGCTCCTTTCCTCTGACACTTGTCCTGGTGCCCTACCTCATCTCCCTGCCAGGCACGTCTCAACCCCTCCCTCTGATCACAGCCTGAGTCCCTGATGGCTAGAGATGGAAGAGGAGGAGAGCTGGGGTTAGGAGAAGTCATTCAATTAAGAGGTCAAGCAATTCCCGGGCCTGCAGAGGTCAGAGAGACAAAAGGAGTAGTTCCAGATTGTGGACTTACATGATCAAATTAAGAATAATAGCTAACCCTCTGTCTGAGGGCTTCCTATGTGCTAGGTACTTCTATAAGCATTTTATAGGTATTATTAACTCATTTAATTCTTACATTGTCCCATGAAGAAGGTACATTATCCCCAATTTACAGGTGAAGAAACAGGCCGAGAAACTAAAAATGGTTGCCTGAAGTTCCACAGCTAGGATTCTGTAGTAAGAACTTTAACCCAAGGCTATTCTGTGGCCAATTGGCCACTCCTTTTCTTATGTGGGCCATCTCCCCCTCTTTCTTTTAATAAATCTTTATTGTTCATATTATTACAAATGTTCCTCCCCCCACCCCCCGCCCACCATTGCTCTCCTCCACCAGGTTCCCTCCCCACCCTCTGCCCTTTCCCCACTCCCCTTTGTCCTCATCCATAGATGCACAGTTTATGTTCAGTCTCTTCCCACATCCCCCTCTCCCCTTTTCCCCAAGAATCATCAGTTCACTCCCCTTCCATACCTCTGATTCTATTATATTCAACAGTTAATATTGTTCATCAGATTTTTTTTTAAATTCCCTTGGGTTTTAGATTCACTTGTTGATAGTTACGTATTTGTTGTTCATAATTTTTATCTTTATTTACTTTCTCTTCTGCAAGAACCCCCTTCAGCAATTCATATAATTCTGGTTTGTGTTGATGAACTCCTTTAGCCTTTTTTTGTTAGTGAAGCTCTTTATCTGACCTTTGATTCTGAGTGATAGCTTTGCTGGATAGATTATCTTTGGCTGTAGGTTCTTACTATTCATCACCTTGAATATTTCTTGCCATTCCCGTCTGGCCTGCATGGTTTCTGTTGAGAAGTCAGCTGACAATCGTATAGGTGCTCCTTTATAGGTAACTACCTTCTTTGCTCTTGCTGCTTTTAATATTCTCTCTTTGTCTTTTGCTCTTGGAATTTTAATTATGATTTGTCTTGGTGTGGTCCTCTTTGGATTCCTTTTGTTTGGAGTTCTGTGCGCTTCCTGGACTTGTAAGTCTAATTCTTTCACCAGGTGGGGGAAGTTTTCTGCCACTATTTCTTTCAGTATGTTTTCAATATCTTGCTCTCTCTCATCTTCTGGGACCCCCATAATTCTGATGTTGGTTCGCTTGAAGTTGTCCCAGAGGTTTCTTACATTATCTTCAATTTTCTGGATTCTCTTGCCTTCTAGCTTCTGTGGAGGAGTGTCTTCTGGCTCTTTATGTTCCAACTCTTTGACTTGATTCTTGCGATCTTCCATTCTGTTTTTAGGACTCTGTATAATATTTTTTATTTCAGTCAATGTATTCTTTATTTCTTTGTGATCCCTTATCATTTCTTGTTGATCCCTTATCATTTCTTGTTGATTCCTTATTAATTCTAGTTGATCCCTTTTCATATCCTCATAGGTCTTATCCATTTTTTTCCTAGGAAATTCTTGAAAAACCTTATAAGCATAGATTTGAACTCTATATACAGTCGCTTTTTGTCCTCCATTTCTTTCGTTTGTGATCTATTTCGTCTCCGCATTTTCGCAGTTTTCCTGAGTTGGTAGCCTTAAAAGTCTCTGTGTTCTGCTTGGATGGGGCAGGGTTTCAGGATGGAGCCTGCAGCTTTGGCTTCCGTCAGTCCCGCCCCCTGTGGCTCCTGGGTCTTAGGGTCCTTCAGTACTAGTTGCAAGCGCCTCTGAGAGAAAGGTGCCCTCGATTTTTGCCTGCTGCCCAACAGTCTATGCTCTCCCCCAATGAGCCCGGTATTGGGGTTCAGTTCAGTTGGAAATGGAGTTGGAGGTGGCGTTCAGAGCAGTCCGGAGCCCCAGTCTCCTTCCTGCCAGGGCAATCCCACAGCACAGCCAACCGTCCCTTCTCTGCGGGCAATGTGCGCATTGCCGGGACCTCCTTTCGCTGCTCCCCCGGGGTTCCGCCTCGCAGCCCGGCTCCCTCTGTGTGAGCCTGGGTCCCTGGGGTCTGGCCTAGAACTGGGGTTCAGAGCAGTTAGAACTGAGGCCCAGCACAGTCAGAGTTTTATCTCCTTCCCGCTTGGGAACGCCAGCCAGGCACTCAGCCTCCCTCCTCTCCAGCTCCGTCCTCTCCGCGCCGCGTGTCTCCGTACCTTAGGCTTTTACAGCTCCTCCGCGCTTCCTTCTGGTTTTCTCCTTGCTTCTCGTTGTAGAATTTCCAGTCAGTCGACTTTCCTGTAGTACTTGGTAATGTCCGTTTTATATTTTAGTTGTATTTTATTGAAATTGTGTGCGGCTGCGGCTAGGTGTTTACCTGTCAGCCATCTTGGAACGACCCCCATCTCCCCCTCTTTCTCCTCCTCCCTTCCCTCCCACTCTCCCTCCTCCCCAAGAGTTAAACTTATGTTTGTGTGCAACCAAGCTCATGATTGCAAACAATCTAGTCAGAAAGAGGCATGTACAGGAATTACCCAATCAGAAGCAGGGAGTTAGGAAACCAGGCACCAATCAGAGAGTGATTGTGAGGAGCAGTCCAATGCAGAGTAAGTTTGGCCGGAAGGATTATAAAAGGACCAATCAGAGAAGCCAGAAGAGCAAACACTATCTAATGGTCAGCGCAGAGGGGGTGCTTTGGATTTGGAGCCCCTCCTTCCAGGTGGTACAAATCAGGGATTGCCCTCTTTCCACTAACCTCCCCTCCAGGCTCCCTAGTCTTCCCCCCCCCCCCCCCCCCCGAGAAAGCATATCCCTTTTCTTCAATTAAAAAAATGTTTTTATTGGTTTTTCAGGAAGAGAAAGAGAGAGAGAGAGAAAGGAACATCAATGATGAGAACCATCCATTGGCTGCCTTCTGCACCCCTCCCCACCCCTGTACTGGGGATCCAGCCTGAAACCTAGGCATGTGCCCTGACTGGGAATCCAACTGTGACCTACTGGTTCAAGGGTCGATGCTCAACCATTGAGCTACACTGGCCAGGCAGGCTCCCTAGTTTTTGAATCCTGACCCTAGACTTTACTAGGCACTTCTAGTTAACGTAGAATATAAGCAGGGCTTAGGCTGGAGAGGTGGAGACTGGATTTTAGGTAGAGCTGAGAATGCAGGACCCAGACTAGGTGTCTGAGGGACTAGTGTCCAGGCTAACAACTAGCTGCTTATGGGGTGGAGCCTAAGATGGAGAAGTGGGGCTTTGGCTGTGGGGTGGGGCTTAGACTTGTTGCAGGGACACAGCTAAAGAAGCCTGGCTCCACTAGTACCAGGAGGTCAGGGTTCCATTCCCAGTCAGGGCACATGCCCTGATTGTGGACTCCATCCCCAGTAGGCGTTGTGCAGGAGACAGCTGATCAATGATTTTCATCATTGATGTTTCTCTTCCTCTCCCTGAAATCAATAAAAAAATTTTTTTTTTTAAAAAAGAAGTCTCAATACATACTTATATACTTTAGGGTGGTGTCTAAGGTGTGAGGCTTAGACTTTGGGTGTGGGACCTAGAATTGAGGTGCTTTGCTTAGATAAGGCTGGGGATTTTGCTTTGGAGTGGAGCCTTAGAGACTCTATGGGGAGTGAGGGTACATGGGGAGAGGGGTGATAAATTGTGGAAGAATTAGGTTAGTCTAGCACAGGAATCAGGGCCCAGGGAAA